TAGCTCTGCTGCTATGGCTCGTTCTAAATCCAACAGAGATCTCATGCACCTTAGCAATGAGGGCAGAGTGTCAAGTGTCAGGAAAGAAACACGCTTCAATGAAAAGAATGTAATAAAAGCTAATGTGGGAACTCTGGTTCTTTCTGGCATCAAGAAGCAGATTGACTCATGTTTTCATTTTTGGCTAAGAATTGAATAATGAAAGGCCAAGTGTGGCTGTGTGCCAGATCCCCTTGCGTGCCAGGGAGTCCTGACCTCACCTCGTGCCCTGCTAAAACAGCACAACAGGAAGTTTTGACATCAGCTGCCAGAAAGCCTGTGTGACACTGAGTGCTGATGGATGTACAGCCAGGGTAAGTGTGCAGGTAGGGAAGGAGAAGGGAGCAGGACTGCTGGTGCTTTTACTATTAAAACATTTGTACTGACAAGCAGGCATGTGCTGTGGTTGACTACTGAGAATGCAACCCACGGAGGTCACCTTCCTGGGCAAGATGATCTGGTCAAATAACATTAGAAGAGTGAAAATGGAGAGAGCAGGGCTCCTGGGTGGAGTGCGGGTATCACACATACACCTCTGGCCCTCCCCTCTGAGATGCTGTCCCACTTCTCTGTCAATCCAAGTCCCTGTATAAACTGGAAGACCTGAAGCCTGAGGACACAGACAGCATCATCTTTACCATGTAAACTTCTGTGAGATTCACAAATGCAACCTGCATAGTGCTCATGTGGCTTCTCCACAGGCAGCTGCTGCTGACTCTGCGGGTCCCCAGGGGTGAGGAAATGTGTCTGATGTACAGGTACCCAGAAATGCCAAGGCTGTAACCATCTCCACCTTCCTACCCAGCAGGTCAGGAAGCAGAAATGATGGCAATAGGGTGTAAGAAAATTGAGGGAAGCAGTTTCTGGTCCCTAAAATAGGGAAGAATTATCACATAGAAGAATTTCCCTTTTGCTGGAAGAGAAGGATAAAAGACAAAGGTTCGTAGACCTGGCCATTTACCAGACTCTTCTTGAAACCTCAGAGGAAAAGGCACAGCTCAGGACATTTATAGTTGGCAAACACTCTGTGTCTCCATATGGCCCAGAAAGTGGGATGTTGTGAGGGCAGTGGAATCAGGGAGCGCTGTTCCCAACCTCTGCCAAAACCCTGCCCACCTCTCCACCGAGATGCTGGGCTTGGACGGAGACTTGAGTGTTCTTATAAATGCTTTATAATGTAAAAATGGACAAGAAAGAAAAGAAAAGTTGCAATATAGCCTTCCACTGATATTCTTATACCCACCCCCCTGTATGCCCACACTGATAACATAAATCCCCTTCCTCAACTCTTCAAAATCAATCAAATTCTCAAATGGAATATGTCAGGTTTACATTATAAAGAATCCCTTTGCTTGATGTATGCAGCCATAGAGAACAGAGATTTCTCTCCAGCCACTACACAGAAACATATATGCTTGTAGGAAACACACACGATAGCAGGCGCAGATTTCTACAGCAGCAGGACTCTCTAGGAGAATTCAGCTGGAGGCCCTTCTCTCCTTGTGGTTAGAGGCCAGGCCCTTGCAAGTTGGGTTGGGTTCTAAGAAGGTCCTTACTGGCAGTGGTGTAAAGGATCCCAAGTCACCCCTGATTTCTGAGGAGCCACATAATGATGCTACCATGGCAACCACCATCAGTTGTTCAAATCCACTGAGCAATGGGCTTTGCAGAAACCTCAGCAGGACAAGGTTCAATTCCAAGGGGGAGAGAAAGAGACTAGGGCAGGAGGAAGGTTATCTGAATGGAGGACATTCGATAGGGCTAATCTATGGAATGACAGTGAAGGTGACACCCACCAGGAGAAAGGTACCTGACAAGCCTGAAGACAACCCCCCATTTGCCTTCTCTACTGGCCTGAGCCTCTGACTAAGGGAGACATGGGCTTAGTGGCTATTTCACTGTCTTCCCAGGCCACGCCACTGTGCTGGCAGAAGATGGGACTCCTGCTAACCCTACCAAATGATAGGAGAGCTGAATTCTCTGACACCCTGATGAGAAAAGGGGAAGAGCAGAGTTAGGAAGCATGGGAATATGAATGGGAGAAAGCATCACCATACCTCGGCAAACGTGGCAAAGACCAGAGGAAGGGAGAGTGGGCACCAGTTCTATGAGCACAGAAGGGAGAAGGAATGGGCATAGCAGGCTTGGAGGGACGATGACAAAAGAGAGTAGGGGGAGAAGGATGAGCAAGTATCATCTACATTTCAGAGAGAAATGAAGAGAGAGTTCAAGTGATGACATCACTAGTAGCAAGTGATGGATCATAACTCTCAATCCATCACAAAAGCATGGATCCCAGAGCCAAGGGATTTCCAGAGGTCCCCTTCACGGTACCTGGTCTGAGGAACAACAGAGAGGCTTCAGCTCCGGGGCTGTTAAGGCTTCCCCTGCCACCAGCACCAAAGCCACCACTACCATGTTTCAAAGGGCACAAAGAAAGAACAAGACAGATGATAACCTCACAGGCATCATTGTTACGGAGTATAGGGAAGGATAGCTAGACTGTGGACAAAGGGAGGCAAGGGGAGGCTTCCTCAAAAGTGCACCACCCACGCACACTAGCACCAACACGCCTGCCTGGTCACTACCTCTACAGGTATGGGTGCAGGCTGGTTATGTGGGAAACACCCAAGTCTTGGACCAACCTGCAGTCCTTTTCAATTATCTGCATACATTATGCACCAATACATGTTACTTCCACCTTCAGATTTCATGACATGATATGGGAAAATTAGAATAATGCAGGGAATTAATATTCATCGATCACTCACATTGCCAGGACCTGACTAAGCATTTTACATGCTTTGTTTTGTCTCCATTTTAGAGATAAGAAACTGAGGATAGGGGGATTAATACTTGCCTATAAGGCTCAAGGACACAAAGCAGGAAAGGAGGGGGGCTGAAGTTCAAACTAGGCTCTGCCTAGCCTCCTGCCCACACCTTTCCTTCCCTCTGTCCCATCCTAAATGCTGCTCTCTCTTCACTCACCAAAGACAAACTATTCTGCTGAGTGAAAGTAAGAGAGAAGAACAATATGGTGAATAATGTATGCAAATGAATGGTAAAATGCGAAGGAAAGTTGACCTTTTAAAAACCCAAGGGTCATAATTTATTTATCTCTCACCCAAAAAGGGTGAGCTTCCTTAGGACAAAGGCAGGGTTTAACACGTTCATGGCAGCGTCATAATTTGTATGTCTCACTGCTGGCCACTTGAAACACTGGTGGTACATGCACGACAGTCCCATTAGGCAGCCTTTTTAAAATAAATTTTATTAATAAAGAGACCAATGAAAGTGATGAGGCCTGTTTGTACCATCAGTGGTAGAAGCCGCTCAATGGGACAATCACATATGTACCAATGGTAGTTTAAACTGGCAGAAAAATGTTAAGGCAACTTTTCCCAGGAGGAGGAGGAGCTGGAAGTCCCCTTGGTAGGTCCAGAATTTCTTTCCTTTTGTCATGGTAAGACCCATACAGAGTCTGGATGTGTGAAGAACGCATGTGTGCTTTTGTGAAATTTCTTTGGGGACAGGTTAGCCATGTCTGATAGGAAGTTTGCTGAGGGCAAGTTTGCTGAGGGCAAAATTGATTGCACGTGGTCTTAACAGGGTCAACGTACTGGTGCACATAGGGACAAGGCACACTAGAGATATTTTGATTACCACCTGTTTCAGAATCACAATCACCCTGATGGACTCTCTTTGGAAAGTTTCTCATGGCCATTGTAGCAATGGACACAATCTACTTTCAGGGAGATCTTGGACTCAGCATAGCTGGAGAACACTCACCTCTCCTACAGACAGAGCACGCCTTACCCTGGGCCACTGAACAAGCATTCTTTTTCAGCTCTTACCCTACTTCTTTTTCTACCAGGATGGACAAGTAATGGAAGCTCTCAGTGCCTGCAAGAAGGTGGGACTGATGATCCCTCTCTAACCATTTGGACCGTAGAAGGGCAAACCTGTAGAGATATCTTGTCCCATTCCTCATACAGCTGCCTTCAATGAAATCAGTTTCCAGATGTGTTCCTGTCTCCTCATCAGAAGGAAAGTGTAGCTAGCCCTGCTTAGTAGATAAGCACCCCACTACACTTATACTCAAAGAGGTTGGAAGGAAATTCCACAACCAGGGAATTCCCTGATGCCATCCAGAAAAGATGGCAGCTGCTCTGGGTTCAGACAGAGCCCAGAAGGCTGTCATGCATTCTTCCAGGTCTCTCCCCAAATCTGGTTAGCAAAGAGGCCCTGATAGCATCTCTAATTCTTCCCCAGGGCTAGGAGAGGTCCTTTCCTTGGCCCAATTCCATGGGAAACATCAAAATATGGTTGGAAACCAGCTTCAGCTGGATTAATGCATAGAGAAAAAAAATTTTCCCAAATATAATAAATGTGGTTTCATGACCTAAATGTTTTAAATCCATTTTCTTAAGTGTGTTGTCAGGAAAGGTTTGGAAAGTTGGTTTTTATGACCCTAGACTAGTCAGTCGTCCCTGTCCATGTGCAGAGAATCTATCCATGCTCAGGATTCTGGGATCCCAAATTTTGCTCTGCTCCCCACATGTTTCTTTCCTTTAAACTGTTCATTTGACAGATTCAAGAAGTGAAAGGGCACCTCAAAAGACCCTGGGTCTGTCCTTGGGTGCAGATTAGGCACTGCTCATCCCCTGCATACCTGCCGTGTTTACCTGTCTCCAGGAAAGATCTAAGGCCTCTAACTTCTTCCTCCTGATGCTCCCTTCGCCTGCTTCTCCATCCCAACATTTGGGTACCTGGGCTGAATCTATAAAGCCCTCAGGAGCTCTGCTGAGGGTAACTGGCAAGCAGATGCCCAGGACATCCTGCTTTGGCCCTCTTCCAAAGGGGTTTCATTTCTCAAGTTCACTGTAGAGGAGGCCTCAGATCAGCCAGGGCTTCCAGGAAGAGGGGTGGAAAGTGGGAAAAAACAGGAAAGAGCCACTTACGCTAGAGCAAAGGCCACCAATGCACCAACCACCACCACAAAGTCCAAGATGTTCCAGAGGTCTCGGAAGTAGGACCCATCCTGCAGGATCAAGCCTTGGTCTATCATCTGCAGGCCAAGGGTGTGAACAGACATAGATGAGCCCAGAAGGTTCAGGCAACACCTACCCAGAGGTCAGGTTCACTGTGGCAATACCTCCATGGCCCCTCTCTCTGCCTCCACCCCTAACCTGGGCCTGAGAGCAATGGGGGACCCAACAGGGTCTTACCGGACAACATGGGCCTGAGGCCTCTTCTCAAAGCCACTAAATTTCTTGGCCCTCATAGAACCCTGCCATATTCATCTTTTCTTTACTGGCCCAGAGCTCCAGATCTTGTCACATAGGCAAGATGGGTAAAACTGGGAACAATATAGGTCCAAGGGGCATTAGGGTGGTTGCGGGAGAGAGTTATAGCTGAGAGTAGATGGGGTCCAGGAATATTCACCTCTGCCTAAGCCTTCCTTTGGCATGAACCCAGACTCAAACCAGGAAGGGCACCAGGAAGGAGACCCTCCTGGGGCTCCGTCATGAACTAGTGGATGACAGCCTCGGGGAAGGGGCCTAAACTAAAGAAGCAGACATGTGACCCATCCAAAATGCAGAGTCCAAGTTTCCCTTGGAAGCTTTTACCTTTATAACCATCTCAAAGGTGAACACTCCTGTGAAAACATAGTCAAAATACCTCAGGACCTGCAAGATACACATAGCAGAAGGGAAGAGAATCATGTGAGGCCACCAGGCCACATACACACTCTTGCCCACAGACACATGAAGTCCTGCTCAACCACCCCACTCCCCGCTAATTTCACCTCAGAAAGAAGGCATGGGGTTACAGCCACTAACTGAACTCACAGGTGGATGCGTGGAGGAGAGGCACATAGTTCAGTGACTCAGCGCCTGCTGGGACACAGAGTCCAGAGGCCAGTCCTTGGCTAGAGCTTAATTTCTTGGGCTTGAATGGCCCCACAAAACTCTCACTCCAGTTCTGGCCCAGGACCTGGAACCTCTGTCAGTTCCTTTCCTTCTCCCAGCCATCAGATCTTCTTACAAACACAACTGGGGATGCCCGGAGATGTCTTAACTCCCTGTGGTGGAGCTGAAGCTCCCCAGTTTCACACACATCACCCATGACCCTGTGTCAGATCCCACATCCAACCCCCGGCTCTCTGCAGAGCCCCTCAAATCCCTGGCTGGCTTAGTGCAAGGTCCACAGCTGCAGCACAGAGGCACAAGGTACAGTTGAGGGATACAAGGCCTACTCTGGAAATGGTCCATAGTCCTCTATGAGAAACAGGAGGACCAATTTCTCCAGCCTTCTTCATTCCCCAGCAACCTTCCCACCATGTTGGTCCACCTCTAATGCTGGGTGGGTCCCAGGGCACTTCAGAGGTTGACAAATGGCCCCTGTGCACCCACTTTGTTGCGCTCCGAGTTGGTCAGGACTGGGTCCTCTGCTGCCAGGGCAATGCTGCTGGCTGCGATCACCAGGAGGATGCACATCTCAAAGTAGCGCAGGTTTACAATGTAGTGGCAGGCCCTCCGGATCCTGTGTATGGGAGGGTGGAGCCCTGAGTAGCTGGGCCTGCGTACTACTCATGCCCATCCCTCCTACTCCCACCCCCACACACATCAGCCTCTTTTAGACAGCCAGACCTTCGCCAAAGAAAGCCGCCAGGGAGAGCAATTTAATTTCTCAGGCACCACCCTTGATTTCTAGCCCCAGTGGGGGAAGGTAATCAGATTGGCTAAAGGCTGCAGCAAGCAAGCCAAGATACATTATGTGTAAGCACGATCCAGCCACAAGAGCAGCCAGCCTCAAACTGCACAAGCTTAGGTGCTACATGGTGCTTTCCCCTGCTGTAAGGAAACTGACACCTGCTTAGCAAATCATAAAGAACCAAGGAACAGATTTGGATTCGAAGTTTTTGGATAAGAACAGCAGTGGGTTTCCATGCCCTGCCCCCAGGCTGTGCTGATGGAAGTGCCTCTGTTCTATACTCTTTGTTTCATCCTCAGATGAACTGATACCTTTGACCCAAGTTCCATCCCATCCCAGAGCCCTGCGTAAATCTACCCACATGGCCACCAAAGGCTGCCTTGTCCTCCTAGCCTCAGAACCTGGTCTCTATGTTGCTCCCGGCACAGAAGGCAGCTTCTCTTTCCAAATCCCATCTTTCCTGAACCTAACCTTCTAGGCTTATCTCTGACACTCCCACCTCCTGCCCCTACTACCTCTGTCCAGGGAACATGTCCACTTCAAAACCTATAAGCAGGACAGAGTTTAGACCCAAGCCCTTAAATTCCAGTAGAGGGCCCACAGTCTCAGCTCTGTCCCCTTCCCAAATGTCTGGTGAGATCCTTAAGTAGACTTCCCTCCTGCCCCATGCCACCCACTGACCAAACAAGGGGTGAAGGGCCCTTTCCTCACATTTCTCTTGCATCCTGTCTTGGGTTATGGTGTACAGTGTACACAGCACTCAGAAGTCATTTAACTTAATGGCCCATCTTACCTATTGGGTCCCAGATGCTTCCATGTCTGGTACCCTCTGCCAGTATGGGGAAGGCTCAGGAAGAGGACTAGGCTCCCATCCTTCCTCCCTCCACTGCCCAATCCTGGCTCAAACCCTGGTTGACTCCCCTAGCACAAACAGAGGAGTCTTCGGGAGGTGACTTACGGGTTAGTGGTGCTGAAGATGAACATGGAGCTGTGGGGCACCATGGCTTTGCCCGTCTCTCGCTTCTCCTTTTTCTGCTTCTTCTTCTCTACTTCTTCCTCCTCCTCTTTGATCTCTGCCTCCTTCAAGGGACTGGCTTCTCCATCAGTCTTGTTGCTAACTGCAAAAGGCCCATGTTGAGATCTTCAGCAACCTGGCTACATGCACAATGCCCTTCCTTTTCAGCTGATTATAGCATGCAGAGTAGATGAAAGGACCACAGGAATTCCCCGAGAACCTCGCAAACACTGGGAGTATTTCACACATTACATTACATTAAGCCCTTTCCCTGCTCTTATCCTCAAACTTGCCCACATTTTATGTGGGATAACCTCTTAAGGCACATAATTGAAATCACCTGTTCCTCTTCTCTTGCTGAAGGTTTACAGTCTGGCAAATAGCAAGGCTGTTTCTGTTACAAAGTTTACAAATTTAGGCATTATATATAAATTCTTGTTCCTTATGGAATTCTGACATCAATACACTCCGAGTGGTATATATTATTATTCCTATTATACAGATGAGAAAACTGAGTTCAGGCAATCTAATATGTTTTTGAAGGTCACAACAGCTAGTGCAGGCTCCCAATTTGAAATCCTATATGCTTGAAATGAAATACCATTGCAGTGGAGGATTTTAAGAAACCATTACTCTGTTTGCGGCTGCCATTTTGCCAGTGCTCTTTCCAGCCATGATGGATGTAGATATGAGAATGTAATATTCATATGAATATGGGCCTGTGACTGCACTCCCAGACTGGGAGGACGAAGGCGCCAGGGGTGAGGTGAAGCCCTCGGCCTGATGCTGTCTGTTTCCATGAACAGGACACAGTGTGCGCTAACTTGGCAGGAGGCTCAGGCTATCAGAAAATGGGGAGGGACCCAGTCAACTCCCTCCTACTGCTCCTTGCTTAGGGAATGACTCTACCCTGTGGGCAGATGTAAGAAGCATCTGTGGTCCAGGCCCATGCAGGGCCATGTGAAAGGTAAATCAAAGTATCTAAAAGTCTTCTTGTCCCACACTCGCACCCGTGGCTAAGGCCACAGATTAGCCTTGGGAATAGGCAATAGTCAAGGTGTTATTTTTCACAGAAGACAGTCAGAACTACTTCTTATTTATTAAAGTATAAAATCAAACAGTCACTAAAAGCATCTGTGAATCTGAAATCCTGAGACACACCCAGGACATGCCCTGCTTTCTAGTCCAGTAAAAAACAGAATTGGCATTTTGAGTGTGGAGAATGTGAAGGAAGGAAAACAGGGCAATGGAAGTAAGAGAAACTAAGAGAGGGTTCTCGTGTGACAGAAAACATGGAAAAAGTAGAAGGAAAACAACCAGAAAAGGAACCCAGTGGTCACAATTTAGTGATTACTAGGTAACAGGTGAGATTAATTCAGGGACAGGTGGAGGGACAGAGGCAGATTCATGCTGAGAGTATTCATGCTGAGAGAAAGTGTAACATGAACGCAGAGATGGGATATAGGACCTAGGCAGCCGTAGGGTGTGGGAATAACGCAGGCATGGGATACGGTCAGGGCAGGGATGGGATGTCGGATTAATACAATGGGTACTGGGGCAGGGTGGGGTAATAGAGGAAATGTTCTTTGTTGTTTCCCTTTAAAGTTTCATAGTTTAACACTGGTTGCCTGAGGAAATTTTGATAGAGAGAGAATGTGACTAAAAGCTCCTGGGAGAAAAAGAGTTGCTATGAGTAATAGAATAATAAAATGTTAGTACAGAGAAAGGCCTCTGAGATCATCTAGTTCAACTCTCTCACTTTGTAAATGACAAACTGAGGCCTGGAGAGAAGTGTGCAGAGTCATTTTGCAGAGGTCACTGACTGAGCAGAGCCAGGGCCAGGAAGACCCCCCATGCAGAGGTCCTCCCCAGCAAGGGCCCCTCATTTTCTGGGGCAGAAGAGCACTTGGAGGCCAACCAGCTGAACGCATACTTGGGTACAAAATCACAAGTGATCACTGCAGACTCTGCAATGATCACAGAACCACAGCTTAAGGAAATTGTCTAGGCAAAATCCAAGATCCAGAAAACTCTAGCTTATTTTTGCAGGGGAAAACTGCCACTATTTTACTAGTTGACAGTTCTTTAGAGCTGCTGGGGCTTTCCCTGTGGCTTTCCTGGAAGGACCCAAGCCAGCCGTCCCCGGCTCTGGGCAGGATGAACAGATGATGGCGACAGGGACTGCACTCACTGTGTACCACTGTTGAATCCACCAAGGGGTCCACTTCGGGGATGGCGACAGTGACACTGGTGCTCTCGGTAGTGGCCTTGTCTGTGTTGGCTGTGATGCAGGACAGGTCCGGCTCACTCTGACTGATGCCCCGGCCCACGTCCAGCTGCACATCTCCGAGGAGGGCTTGCTCGCTGCTGCCTTCTGCCTCCTGCTCCACCAGCACTGTATCCCTCCCCACTTCCAGCTCAGGCTGGGGCAGGACCAGGGGTGTGTCTGGCTCATCCAGGGCTCCTGCCAGCCCAGAGCCTCTGGGCACCATCAGACTGTTGGTCCTGAGAAGAGAGAGAAGACACAGTCAGGGCTCAAGCATCTGTTGCAGAGGTGGAGAGGAGTGGGGCCTGCCAGCCATGTCCGAGGCTTTATTCCTACCCGTGCACCCTTGCCCCACTCCCAGCAGAGATATCTTCAAAGAATGACCCTCATTTTCAGAGGGACAAATCCCACTGCCTGTTATACTTATTCATACAATTTAAAGGATGCTTTAGAATATCTCCATTTTATAAAAGGGAAACAGACTTGTGAGGGCTTCCTAAAGAATTCCTAACACCAGCCTGTGCTATGTACACTCCTGGGACATACTTACCTCCTTAAATCCTGGGATCGTTCCTCTTCATGGATGGTTGGCTCCTTGCCTCCGTGACTGCCCCGGAACTCATGGTCCTTCTCTCCCTCAGGGTCCCCACCTTCATCCAGACTCCGCTCCTGGCTGGCAGACCTGCTCCGGGAGGCCGATGCAGACTCCTTGCCTTCAGTCCTGACACGACGGTGCCGGCTGCGCCTCTGGCTCTGCCTGTGCCTGGCCCGGTCCTCAAAGGTTACCACAGTCTCTCCTCCCCCAGCCTCCTGCTGGGTGGGGTCACAGTTCCCATGACAAGGCCTGGCCAGCCACGGTGGCTCCCGTTTGCCTAGGGACAAGGGGCTCCTCTGGTTGTCCAGGGCACTGGTCAGGTCACCTCCATCCCCTTTGAGGGACGCCCCCCGGCTGATGCGTTCCTCCTCACACTTTTCCAGGCCTAAGCCTAGAGCCAGGCCCTCAATGGGCCTGGACCTCCGGTAGAGGCTGGGGTGAGCATTGAGTGGATTGAGGGGGCTCAGTGGGTTGAGCGGGTTGAGGGGGTTCATCGGTGGGGCCTCCTCTTTGTTAAGGGCCTCTTGGCTGGACATCTGCATGTGCCTCCTCAGCTGGCTGGTACGCTGCTCCCACACTGACATGTGGTGCCGGCGCCTCCGCTCCCTCCTGGCAAAGGTGAAAGGGTGAGGGCCTGTTAGCACCAACAGCCACAAGCCAGGGAGGGCAGGCACAGGGGCCACGAGTGGGCTGGGGGGACATGGTGGGGGAGAAAATGGGCAAACCCGGGATTTGAGACAGGAAGCACAGAAAGATGCAGGGAGCAGAGTGGCCACGCATCAGTTGGCTGATGGACCAGTGCCTCCCAGCCCAGTCCAGGGTACTTTTCACTCCAATCCCTGCTCAGTAGTAGCCAAAGGGTTGGGTAGAAATGAACCTAGGACTCAATCCCATGTCCCCAGGGCCTGGGAGGGCAGTTGTACAAAGACTCACTAGGCTTCTACTCCCCTGCGCTGCTTTGATTCAGAGCACCAGCCGGAGCCCACTCTGTACCCACCAACGACCCTGACTCAAGGTTCATCCCCAACCACCACCCCACTCTCTCTTTTCCCTCTAGATTGCAGCCTGGGATTGCAAAAGCTGCGATGTACCATGATTTGATCCCAAGAAGGGGGAGAACAGCAGCAAACAGACTCATATGCTAAAAATTTTGCCATTACCCTCCAAAAGTAAGAGAGTCATGGGTCTCTTCTACAATAGCTAACAAAACCCACAGAAGACCATGTTGCGTTGACCACTATCCGCTCATACCCAAAACCACTGCTGAGCACTGAGGCGCAGGGGCCTAGATGCGTATTCATGGCAGCAGGAACACACGAACATGACATGTACAGAGGAGCACACAGGAGTGGGCCCACCAGGCAGGAGGGCAGACACCACTCCTTCCCTCATGGGCCTGTGGGCACACACCTACCAGCTATTAAAGGCACACTCACATGTACGCACACGCACCCTGACAAGGCCTACACAGAGCTGTACACAGCCACCTACATGAAAGAAACACCCACCGACACCAATCACCAACGCCAACACATGCCACTCACAAGCCACAGAGAAGAGGGAGCAACACACATGGTAACATACTTTAGACACACTGATAAAGCACGTTTGAAATGGGCATGTTCACAGACCACTTGTGTGAAGCACACACACACTTACACACACACCAAGGCACACGCTGACATGCACACCCAGTGCCACTTTGTCCATAGCAAGGACAGAGACACGCTGTCCCCACACCCACACAGAACCACTCACAAACACGCAAACCGGTACACACATACAGGTGGCTGCTGCGTGGCTCCCACATCGACATGTGGTGTCTTCTCCTTCTGTCTCTTCTGGGAAAGAAAAATGAACAGGTTCAGTTCACCCCTGAGCCCCCGAATCACCAGCAGATTTCCAGAGGGTTCTCCAAGTGCCTGTTTGCCCTCTGTGGACTCCCAACCTTCACTTCTCCAGTGCAGTTGGGAATTCTGAGTCCTTGCTAATACAAACACATGGATCTCATTCTTGAAGCACACATACAGACACACACCGGACGTACCATTCCATACAGGGTACAACTTCAGATGCTCAGATACCAGGCCCTATCGGCACTCACGCTGCCACCACACCATCCTTCACGGATCTATTTTGAACACTTTGATGAGAAGTGGTTCTCTCCCTCCTCAATCATTCTAGGATTACAAAGCACATTCACATAGATGTGACACCCTCTCCTGTCACTCCTTTAGCAGATGCCAACTCAGTCTCACAAAACTTGCAGGGAATAAATGCTGTGCCATGCATGTCAGTGAGGCTACAAACAGCCTGAGGGCAAAGGCAGGGTGGCCACCATGTTCTCCAGGATGTGAGCAGTCCCCCTGCACTTGGCCACGTGCCCTGATCAGGGGTATTAAAGATTCAGCCTTTTCAGCTGGGGAAAGCACAGTATTGACCTTCCTACTCTGGCACAAAGAATGATCTCTTCCCTATACTGTGTCCTTTCAAACACAAGTTAATGGAAGTTAAGAGTTGATCAGGGTGGGCACCTCTTGTGACAGTGGCCAGAGCATGTGGTAGAACGGGACTATGAGCACAGTGCCCCGGGGGCACCTTTGGGTGCCCTCAGAGTGCACCTGCACCTGCTCCAGTCCCTGAGCTGGGGGATTCAGTCCACCCTAGTGGGCCCTGCTAGACCTAGGAGTAGGCAAATGCTGGTCGTTCCCTGGGAAAACTGACATCCACCAATGCAGAGTGTACTGGCAAACTAACAAGCCCAAATGCCCATGTCTTGCACATCTACAGAAAAGCCTGATAGAAGAGTAGGGCTGAGGGAGCAGAGGTAGCTGGCCTAGGAATTTCTCTCTCTGGGTATCTAGAAGAGGCACCACCACAGGTGTGCACATAAGTGCCCCATGATGCAGACATCATTTTGGAGATGCCTGGGAGCTCCTCAACTGAATACTGTTTTCCCAAGCATGCACCCTGCACCACAGATAAGCACAGTGGGGGTGGAGTGCCACAAAGCATAGATAGTGTGTAGGAATGAGAGCAAGTGCTCTAGACAGGAAGCACTCACACCCACAAGGAAAACCACATCAAACCATCTAGATTCTCAACTAAACAAATGCTCTCCAGAAGTGCATATGTAAGACTATGAGTACATGAAAAGATTCTCCCCCATATATACACATAACATACACACATACACACACATACACACACAAGGGAAAAGAGAGGCCTTTCTCTAACTCACATAGATCAGGCTCCCCTTTTCTTCTCTACTCACACATGCAAGGATCCAAATTCACACTCATGCCTAAAGTCACACAGAGAAGTATCCACCTATCTCCAAGTCATGTGAACATGACCTTATGTACATCCCACCATGGCCTTAGGGCAACAGAAAGGGCAAGTAGCATCCTTCCCATTACACATCCTTCTCATTACACATCCTTCTCAATACACATTACAAGGAAACCGAAGTTCTGCGATGCTGCGTGGTTCTCTCCAAGGCCATACTCATACTCCAAGAGTACGTCACCAGCAGAGCGAGGGCTAACACTCAGGCACCTTGTGACAGTGTTCACTTGTGTTTCTCCATGGCAGCCACATTTGTACTTAGTTGCACTACATTCCAGTAGTCTGGTGTGCACACATGGCACAGCACACAACACACGCCCTGAGGTAACTCTCACCAGCAGTACACATTGCAGCACACATGTGACAACCTGAGCCTGGGTCTCCGCTCATCTAGGATGTTCGCAGCACCTTCCTCGACCTTGCTGTGCCCTGAGGCACACCGTGCGATTCCCACAGCCTCGTGCCTGCCCACACTTCATTCATTCATTGCATAAATAGTGAGTTTCTACTCTGGGCCAAGCATCATCCCAAATCACATCTCTCCAGAAACCCACTTCTCCCTCAGGCTTCCTCATCTCAGTAAATAGAACCACCCACTCCTAAGCAGCAGCCAGTCCTATCCATCCACATTTTTGGATACCTGTGTGTATGTGTTTTTAGCTCCAGTTCGTGAGTTCAGGGAAGGTGGGGTAGAAACTACTCAAGACCTAGAGACTATTCTGAAAATGCTGTCTGTGACTTCCCCATCAGCCTTTAATGAATGTTTTCCTCTCATTCACAGAAGAGAGGGCCAGATACCAGGCCTCCACAGATTCGGAAGGTGAAGATAAGGTGATAGGCATTGGGGAAGGGGGGCGACACACAGAACTTGGAGGGGGCTTTACAACCCTTGCATGAGGATTGGGCTACCACGCATGCCTTCCTCACCACTGTCAAGTAACAGGCAACAGGGTCTGGTGTTGGGATAGATACCTCCAAAGGAGCTCAGACGATTCCCCATAGGTTCCCAGGGTCACTGACATAGGCTTTCTGCAGCCCCAGAACAAGAACAAGAATTCTGTTTTAGCCCCTCCCCCAGACCTCCTCCTTCTCACTGCATGAAGGTCAGACCCACTCAGAGCCCACGCTGACTGTCCTCAGTCCTGCTATCTACTACACATCTAGGCTATATTCTTAGAGGAATGTGCACTAGCTGTTTCACTTAATCACCTCCATTTCTCTCCCTAATCCACTACCCTGGATTAGCTTCCTACCCAGCTACTTGTATGGTCACTAATAGCTTTTGTTTTGCCAAATCCAATGGTCCCTTTCCTGTCCCCATTATGGGCAATCCTTCAATGGCGTGCAGCACTACAGTACTCTTCTCTGCTCTGCAAGGTTTTCTTCTATAGGTTTCCAGGGCACCATGCTTCTCTGTTCTTCTGCTGCCTGCTGGTTGTACCCATTCAGTCTCCTTTCCTGGCTTCTCCTCTGGCAGATCTTAAGCAGAGGCACAAGCTCAGCCTCTGTCCTCAGCTCCTCTCTTCCTCATTCCTACTCTCCCTGGGTCATTGCACCCACACTGATGGCTTAAATATCATCTAAATGCAAATGACTTCCACCAAACCTTTATTTTAATCCTGACTTCTCTTCTACGCTCCAGACTCCTGTAACCAATAGTCTATTCAAACACTTGGATGCCTTAAAAATATATCAGATTTAATGTGGCCAAAATAAACTTTGGATTTCCAGCATCTCCAGGGTATCAGTAAATACCACCACCTTCTACCTGACTATTTAGGCTTCAAAACCTTAAAACTCAGGAGCAATTTTTATTTCTTCTTTTTTTTTCATTTTCACACCTTCTGCATTTAGTATGAGCTCATCCTATTGGCTTTCATTCCAAAATACAGACTGACTGAGATTACCTCTCATCTCTGCCATTGCTACTGTTCTTGTCTAAATCACCATCACATACTAAACTCTAAGAACCAACTCGCTGGCTCCTTGCCTCCACTCTTGGCCCCAACAATCCAATCTCCACATAGCACAGTGACTTTTTAAAGGAGAAATAATATTATTACTCTGCTTCCACTTTTAGTCCTTCCATAGTTGTCATTAGAATAAAAGCTGAAATCTTTCACTTGAGAATCAGGATCTCTGAGCTGGGTCCTGCCCACCTCTCTGGTCTTGCTATCTTCCATCCCTATTATTCACTAAACATCAGCCATACTGGACTTTGTAAGGGGGACACTTCCTTCAAAATGTCACACAATTGTCTTCTACAAGTGTATGTCTCTACTTACACAGTACCTCCTTGGAAAACGCCTCCTGGACAGCCCTCAGGTACTCCTGATCATACCCCTTGTTCCTCTCTGTCAGACAACCCTGTTCTGTTTCCTTTATAACACTTCTTGCTATCTGAAACAATGTGCATATTTATCATCTGTCTCCCTCGCTGAAATAAAAACTCCATAGGAAAAGAGGCTTTCTCTTGCTCACTGCTGTAATCTCAGGAACAGTTGCTAGCATGAATGAGGTTCACTCCTACAACCAGTCATTTCAGGAATTGAAGAATTTACTTTAGCACAACCCACGGGTCTGTAAAGGGGCAGCCAACTCACTCGATAGAAGGCATGTTGGGTGCAGACATCGGGCTGACCTCCTTGGCCTTCTGTAGTGCATGTTTCTGGTTGAAGGCCTCCTCTTCCTCCTGCTCATCCTAGACATAAAGCAGAGATGGCTTTGCTTGGGATCCCTATGAAGGAGAGGAGCTTCCTTTGGCTCTCTCCAGGAGTTCTGAAGACCAGCAAAGTTTGGCAAGCAGAGGAAGAGGTTAATAAAGCAGCATGAGATTAAGTTGGCTTAGAGTCCTCCGATGGTCAGAGGCCAGGCCCATTGGGAGACAGCAGCCTCATAGTTTCCACAAGGCCAGCAATTACTGTCTCTACCCTGCCCCCAATAGGCTGCATAGGACAGCCAGTGGATGTCCAACTATCCCCAGCTCTTGGTGCAACTGCCCATGACTGCAGACGAAGGCAGCAGCAAGAATCCACGGAGCTCAGATGTTCTGCAGTATCTGGAATTGACGGAGCAGGGTGCTTCCAGGCACAGCCTGTGAACGGAGCCCTGAGTCTGAGCGCCAAGTCTAAGCACCCAGCATGGTGTCTCCCTTGCACAGCTAACTCTCTGCTCCCCGAGTTCTCGGCAGAGACCTCATTCCCTCACTTGAATTCCTGCATGTAAGTCTTGACGCCAACAAAAAGCAGTTCAGGTAAAGTGACTAGAACTGTTAAGAATACATACATCTTCCCAGTAGGCTCTGCTTTTGACATACATCATTTCTCTGGGTACTCACAGTAATTCTATGAGAAATGTACATTTTCTTATGAGGAAAACTGATATTAATGAAGATCAAGAATCTAGCCAAAGCTAAAACAGCCAGTAAGTGACAGATGTGGGATTCAAACCCAATTTTTCAGATATTAAACCTAGCATTTTCCCTTCCATATCATACAGATTAGAAGTTCCCCCAGGAATGTAGAGAAGACAGGTTACACTTGAGAAAAAATATGGAAAAGCTCAGAAACATTACCACAATGCTACATGCCTCTGCCTAAAACCAAATTTGTGTTCTATGGGGAAAAATGTTTACTCATCTCCATAGACCATACTACTGCAATGGGTATTGCCTCTTCCCCTGCAGAATCAAAGGAAAGAAGGGAACAAATGGACAAACTGAAACTTCCCCAGAATAGCCATGGCCATCAGAATACCCCAACATCCATAGTCCAGGAACTGCAATGCTCCTGGCTTCTCATATCCAAACCCTTGAATGTTAGGTCAACTAGTTGAGGTCACACTGCCACCAGTCACAATAGCAAGGAGAAATTTAAAATCCAGGAATTTAGTGTTTACCTTCACTCTGTGTCATAATCCTAGAAAAGACCCTTCAATAGGCTCATTGTTATTTTCCATATCTGATGAGGGAAACCTAGGCTGGTATAAGGGTCACCAAATTCAGTGAAAATAAACCAGGTTTCCTGCATGAGTGTGTGGCTCTCTAACTGTCTAGAACCTCCTAGCAGAAGCCTCTATGCCAGCTAGAGTTAGATAAATGTAGATGTCCTGAAATAGCTTCCAAGAGCAGATGATTTTCAATGGGACTGAAGGACCATCTGGTCACCAGAGAGCAATGCTTACCTTGGTCAGCTCCTGGGCATTGGCCAGATTGTCCACGGCAATGGCCAAGAAGACATTCAGTAATGTATCTATGGGTTAAGAGTTAAGGATGGGCAAGCAAGAAATCAAACTCTTTCAGGTACTCCGAGAGGGTACCTGCATGACTTTCCTGTCTGACACTGGCAGAGCAGTTACAAACTGTTGGAGGTGGGAGGGGATAAGTTGGAAGGAGAAAAAGGGTATATTTCCCTCCTTCCATACATCATCTTTTGTTTCACACAGGACGAAGAAATACCTTAGTCAATCCACTCAGGAGGCCATACGGGGTGATGGGACCTTCTGAAATCTATGGTCTCAACCCATATCAACAACCAATCAGAGAAACATTGAACAGTAAGATGCGTGAGGAGCTTTTTGTCATCTCACCTTCCTGGGAGGTGGAATTGAATCCCACCTGGACTAATAGGCACCACGCTATTTTGTCCTTAAAAGTAAAAATAAGTAAGAGCCTACAACCCCTGTCACTGACCAACTCTCAAAAATGGGGCACTAACATTTCTCTCATTCTTCTTCTTGGGGTCCTAAAAGGCTTCCATGATTCATTTAACAAAATGTCACAGTGAGAAGACCTGATTCATGATGAAGTCTATTCCTATTCCATAGTCTGACACCTGAAGGCCCTATTTTCTGACCATCTTTGAGTTCAGGTGATGGTGTACCACAAAACTCGTTCTAGCATAGAAAGCCAGATCTGGTTGTCCTCAGAATAAAAAGAAATTAATGTGCCATTGTGATGGACTGGCCTTCCATTTCTGTGACTCACTGCATACTGTATAACTTTCTTTTTATAAATTTCTAATGATTACAGTCTTCTCTGATCTCCAGAATCTTTCAGAGCAGAAAGCTTAATAGAATATCTCTTCTCTGTGAGACTGTACAAAAATGCAAACATGCAGCTACACTGTGACTCGCCTTTCTTCTACTAATTCCAATTTAAGGCAAATTGTAGTTCCTTCAATTTCTAATGATTGTACAGAGATCGTATAAAGTTTACAGTTTATAAGGTGTGTTGTAATAATTACTTTGGTTAATATTTACAGTTAACAGAGGAGATATTGCTCTCCTCCTTTGACATGGGAAAAACAAACTCATACAGACTTTTCTAAGGCCATAGTTTTGGTAAAGAGAGTTGCTGAGATTCAAACCTAGGTCCTACTGATGTAGGTCTTTGGACCTCATACAGGTTTGGAGTTCAAGGATTTGGTTTCAAGTTTTCTTTTACAATTTAGAACTTGTTTGACTTGATCAAACTATTTCTCCCCTCTTCATAAGTTAAGAGTTAGATGACATAGTGTCTGTGAAGTACTTGGTGGAAGGTCTCACAGGTAGCATGAATACAATAAACAATAGCTATTGTGATGGTTAATCTTGACTGTCAACTTGATTGGCTTGACAGAAGTCTAGGAGATTAGTAAAATACACTCTTGGGTGTGTCCAGGTGCATCATGAGAGCATGATGAGACTACATCTGGTCACCAGCACCTTCCATGTGGCTCTTTCTCCATCTTTCTGCTTCCTGGATGCCATGATGTGGGCAATTTCCTCTGCTATGCTTTTCTGCCATGATGTTTCTACGTTGGAACTTGCCAACTGTGAGCTGAAACCTTGGGTACAGTCTCTAGTCCCCCTTCGGCTCCTTTCTGACACTGTTCTCTTGCTCCGCTTTCTAACTGCCATGAACTAAGCACTTTTGCTCTATCATCACCTTCCATTACAGTGTTTCTGCCTTGAAGTCAGCTAATCACATGCTGAAACCTCTGAAACCATGAGACAAAACAAATGTTTTGTCCTTTAAGTTGTATATGGCAGGTATTCTTCCCCAGCAATAGAAATGTGACTAGGATAGCTATGCATAATCGTATTAGCCTTAACCATAATATTAATATTTTTTAGATCTTATAATGTGGCAGGCTGTGTTCTATATGAACATGTAATTCACTCACTAGTATTATAATCTATCCACTATTTCAGCCTATAGTGATCTCTGTCCTCTCACTTTTTACCCAAATAATAGCACTTCCAACCATTCAAAATAACAGCCTTGTATGTCATTATATAAATATACTATAGATTGGGATAAGACTCTATTTATGTTTGTCTTCCTTACAGAACTAGTGTACAAGTATTTTCAGATCATAATTCCCCTTAGCACACCAAGTAAGGTCCATAGCCTGCCCCCTTGGATTCCCCAGCTCCATGATTATCATTACCACCACCTTCTCCTCAAATGCTGCTCCAAGAAGGCAGTCAGCTCAAAGAAGAGCATTTTTAAAGGATACAGTTTCCAAACAAGGTAAGCACAATGAAGTAGATAGCTGACCACATGCCTGAACTGACTCCACCCTGGGAACGGATGCCATTGTACATTACCTCATTCCAGTCCTCCCCTGTCAGGATCTACACAGAGAAAACAACAGACACATCAGAACTCTGAGGAAGCAGAGAAGATGGGGCCAATGCAAAGGGCAAATACCGTGGTTGGCTCTTTCCTGTTTTCCCCCTTGCTTGGATCTCCTGCCAAGGAGTGGGGAGCAGTGATTCCCTTGAATAGTTCTAAAGGGTTTTTATGATAAGGAAGAGAATTTCAGGCTTTGAAAATGGAAGGAGAGCATCATGAAGAAAGGCCGTAATTTTAACTACAAAATTCCTCCCACCTGCAACTCAGCTAGGTGGTCTCATCGCTACCTAACTGTCACCAGAGCTGCCAATAGGTAGCTCCCAAAACAGGAGGATTATTGGAAAGAGCCCCATAAGATTCAGTAGAAGAAACTTGGGTTTGGTTCAGCCTCAGATTTTAAATTAACTCTAATGTTTTTTTCTTCATCTGTAAGACTACAAACACTATTGACATTGAATTTTCTTCATGATTTAAAAAGCTACTTTCTTTGGAGGAAGCATAGAAAAGATAACTCATTAAATTGATACACAGGTTAGAAGATGCTCCAGGTGTCAGAAAAACCTACACACGATTTGTGACTGAATGTCCCAGATTCAATGTCCTGCAACCTCACAGGTGTTAGAGGAAGGAGAGTGAGGAGATGTTAATGCAGTTTCTTTGTTATTGATAAGACTGTAGCCACAGAAGTCTGAGGATTGTAATGATGCTCAAAAAGGAAAAATACTGTTAACTGGGAGGGGTCAAACGGAAAAACATTGGCATCCTCTAGCGTGTGGTACAAGGAAACTCAGATAGCATTTCTAGACTCTCAGCCTCATACCTGGAACACAGTCATGATAGCTGCAGGGAAGGTATCAAAATTTGCTGAAGGAGTCCCATCATTAAAGTTAAACCTGAAAAGGAAATCCAGAGAGAAAATGGAATGGAAATCTCATATACCAAATTTCCCCTCCCCAAGGCCACACAGTTTCATCCCTTCTTTTCTCTTCCTCCAAGTTCCCCTTTCTTTACTTTCCCTCAACTTATAAAGATGATAGCATGACTACTATTGATAAAATATGCACTTTGAAAAGTGCAGGCAATAAGACAGGGTTTGAGCTGATCATTCATTACCAGTCTCCCTGTTATACATTTCCGAGATAGTTCCAAGTGGATAGATTCCCAGAACAAGAGCCCTCTACGGTGTAAAGGGTTAAAAGTAGAGACCATTGTTCCACGTGTGTACTAAGGTCTCTTCAGGATTTGACAAGAACAAACAAGATGGAAACAAATCAGTGATCCTGGTGCTGGCAGCCCTGAGACTGTTCAGAACCTCCTTCCAGTGGAAAGTGCTCTGGAACTTACCTGCCTCCAAACAGCTGCATGCCTAGCAGAGCGAAAACAACGATGAAGAGGAAGAGAAGGAAGAGCAAACTGATGATGGACTTCATGGAGCTCATCAAGGAGACCACCAAATTCCGAAGAGATGCCCAATACCTGTGAAATCCAGATGCAGTTATGACAATGGACACCAAATATCATCTCACCCACAAGTTGAGCTCAGCACCTTCCTGGGAATTTGTGAAATAAGCTGCATTTCTAGAACTGTGGAAAGAAGAGACACTGCTCCCCTTAGGAATGTGGCATTGGATCTGGTACCATAGATATTTTTCTAGTTCAATATTTGGAGAAGAATCTGAAGAATGGAATGGGGGGACAGGGAAGGGAAAGGTGTGGTAAAGTGGGGTGGACAAGAAAGGAATAGAAAGAAATGCAGTAAAGCAGAGAGAGATTCCACCTTCAAAGATATTGGGAAGAGTCCAAGTTCTCACCACTTACTTGGTTATTTTAAATATTCTTAGAAGCCGGAGAGCTCGCAAAACACTGATTCCAAAAGATGTACCAGGTCTGAAGATTGCCCAGACTACTTCAAAGATGCTGCCCACCGTGACCTAAAAGACAACTCATCACAGTGAGACAAGGGAAGAAGAGAAGACAAGCAATGTGGATTCAGCATGCAGTCAATAGCTTTCACCGGGCTATGGTGCAATTAAAATTCTCCCCTCCCCACCCAGTCCCATCTCTATCAGGGCTACCTATGTGTGAACGAGAAAAATTAGACTGTCACTCCTCTCCCACTGCCTTCCATTCCCCTTCCTAACTTTATCCCTTCACCCTCTGTATTGGCTTGCTTACACCTGTCCTTGGTGATACCTACAACACCCAAACTTGGTAGCCATAGCTATTTTTGCCTCATATTACCTTGAACAAAAAAAGAAGAGAGACGCAAAGCCCAGGAACCAATTTGAATTAGTACAGGTTGTGTTCCAACACAGAAATCAGAGACAGGCCCTGCATTCTCTCATCATTCTAAAGTTTAGTACTAACAAGAATATTTTGCTTCTCCATTCATTAAGCATCTTTTAGTCACTGAAATCTCACACCCCTCAATGTGACAATCTTTGTTGACATGGGGCCTTGCTATAGGAAGCAGCAATTTCAAGTTAACACTTCAAGTATTTTTTGCTTTAATTATATATTTATTGAATGTCTACTATGTTCTCGACATTTGTGCTTGGAGAAATAATGAAAATAAATCCTCATGATGATATTAACAAGCATGTACATGAGGACAACGAGGTTAAAATGGTCTCTCACTAGCTGTTATGCCTGAAAATTGCCTGTACTCAGAACCATATGTTCCAAGTGAAAATGCAAATTGGCAAGTGCTCAAAATCTTTGGCACCTAACTAAGGCTTTGGCAGAAAAGAAGTGGGTAGGGCAGAAAGAAAAGTGGCTCAGGAACCCCAAGTTCTGTGGCTTCATTCTGCCGCTGACTGATTCCATGACCTTGAGTGTGATGGTCTCTATTCACCTATGTGTAAAGGGTGAGTTATCTCCTGATACCTCGAATATAATGCATACCTTCTGTGAGCACCATAGGAAAAGAACAAATATGGATGCACTTTTGCAACTACTAGCAACACACATCTAGATGTTACATAGGAAGTAAACAGCTGTATGAAATGCTCTATGTGGTGACTTGCTAATATAGGGTATGTGTGTTTGCATGAAGGTTTATCTAGATAATTATGTTAATTTTAAACTGAAATAGGAAAAAAAGCCCCAAATACATAACCTTCTCTTTCTTATGGAAACACCTCTAGAATTAAGTCCTTTATCCCTCTCTCCCAGACTTCTCCCAAGATAATAAGTGGTTCAAAACTCTGGCTAGGGTAGCTTTGTAAAATCTCACTGCGCTATATACTTAAGTATGCACACTTTAGTGTATGTATTATACATCAATACAAATATTAAAAATCAAAGCACTTAAAAAAAAAAAAATAAGCCCTAGCTTGGCAAGGATTCATTCATTTCTGAACTCCCTTTAGCTCATCTTACCTATTCGCCTTTTACAAATTCTAATTTCAGTGGTTCATGCTGAGTGCTAGAGCAAGTGGCTTATCTGAAGCCATGGCCTATCAACATGCAGTGGCCGGAAAGGGGGGCTTCTGAGGACTTACCCCAAAATCAAAGCAGTTGAATGAAGAGTGAAAATAAAGGCGAGGCCCCATGCCATACATCTTCAGGGACATCTCCAAAAGGAAGAGCCCCAGAAACAAAAACTCTGCATAGTCTGGAAGTATTAAAAGTAGAGCATTTGTTCCATAGACTGTGTGAGCTCCTGCACTCAGCAATTAATCCACCCACCTACAGAGCAACCCGCAAGACACTGAGAGGACACTTGGTGGCCATATCAGCTCAGTGCCAGGCAAAGTCTACCAGGCAAAGACAGAGTGAGTTGCAGGCTCACTCAACAGATCAGTTTTGCTCTTTCATCGGGCTGGTTCATCATGAGCCTTTCCCAAAGTGTGGCCCTCAGAGGAGACAAAAGGACTTTACCACGGCTTTGACGCAAGATCTGGAGTCCACCCTCCAAACGCCCACCCGTACACATCTCCCCACCCTCACTCGCACACGGTGGCATTCTTATCCAGAGTTGCCCTATAAGTTCCCTTTTTGGTCCAGTTGAAGGACCCATTCCCTTAAGAACTCTCTCCCCAGGATTTTAGTAACCCAAATTCCTACACCACCAAACCTCTTTAAGAACTCTCCTGAAGGTCTTCTAGCTCCCAAGTGTAATGTTATCTTATTAACTCATTGGTCAGGATCTGTTTGCCTGATTCAGTAATAAAGGAAGGCTGGGAACAGCAAGAAACAAGCCACCCCCTTGCAGATAGACCTGGCCTCTCTCACAGTACAGCAGGCAGAACTCAGAGGGGAGAACCACACTGCCAGGCTAAGCCACTTTTCCCACTTACATTCACTCACATACTAAGCAACCTGTCCCCAGGAGGAGCCCACAGTCCCCCTTCACTTACAGAGGAGGTGAGTGAGCCACTGGGGCTGGTTGTGATGCACGATGGCTACACAGGCAGTGTTGAGAGCCACAAGGCTCAGGACGATCCAGTAAAACACTTGGGATTTAACCATGTGGCGAATAGAGATGCGTAGAAGCCTTTCCTTGTGCCGGAAATAGGACGCTCCATCTACCTTTGTGCTCTTGATACTGGCTCGGGCAAGTGGTGTGCCTGGGAGAGGGGAAATGAAAAGGAAGAATGAGACTGCAAAATATCCTGGGATCATGCTCCGTGGCCAGGTGGCATCCAAAGGGCAAGGCAGGTGGCTTGAACCTTGGGGCAAGGTGACTGCCACACTGTAGGCCTGAGCAAGTCTTATTTTATGGGGTAAGTAATTTACACCAGCAGTGACCCCGCTTTCCTCTCCAGGCTCTCACAGTCCTACCAAATTGAAAGATTCCTAGGCAGGACATGAGTCAAACACCTAACATCTTGACTCCTAACAGGACTGTGTTCATCTTTGCAATGGATCGGGCTTCTCTCTGCCCTTCCCTTTTAAAGATGCTTCAGGCAGCAGAGTCCTTCAGCTGCATTTGTGATATTTCTGCACCGGCAACATAGAGCAGCAATGAGCTTTTGTAAGTCTCTTCTGCTCTTAAAGACGGAGTGATAGCCTGTCATTTTTCTGGGGAAGAAAAACCTGTCTTCAGCCAGAATCTGTAAGAGAACCTGGGATTTAACTTCAGTCACATCAAAGGGTTTTTAAGAGGAGTTAGTTTAAATTTCACATGATAGAAGTAGGTGGGTTCTACTATGGTTACGAAATGACTTCAAGTTCTCACATCTGGGTCACTAGAAGCAATCAATCTTCAGTACCCTTTGAAAAATACAGGTTGAAGATCTTATCCAAAACCCTTGAAACCAGAAGCATTTCAGATTTTTTCTCAGATACTGCAATATTTGCTTGGGGATGGGACTGAAGTTTAAATGTGAAATTCATTTACATTTCATATATATATATATATACATAGCTGGAAGGTAATTTTACACAATATTCTTAATTTTGTACAAGGAAACAAATTCCACAACAGGGAATTTTCCACTTGTAGCACCATATCACTGCTCAAGAAGTTCCTGATTTTGGAGCCATTCAGATTTCAGATTTTTGGATTAGGGATGCTCGACCTATATCCCAAAGTACATTGTCAGTATCACACCCAAGAAAGAGAGGATATATCTGCAAATGAGAAACATCTGCCATACTTGGAGAATCCCCACATCCCACTTTTCATGTAAACAGCATCCCCTGGTCCTTTTTTTCTCCTGTAAATCATTGTCAGATAGATTAGATTCCCACACCTTCCCTTAATTACAATCCTAAATTCTGGATCCTTTGGGTTCTTTTCCTCCTTGTGGTTCTTCTCAAAAGACAGAATCTTCGTTTTCATGGGAGATCCAGAGAAGTAAAAGAAGATCTAACTGGATCACTCACCCACAGAAGAGATATCAACGCAGTGCTCATCGCTGGAGTCTCGGGTCATGGCCTCCGTCCGGCTCCTTTTGATGGTGGCCCTTCGAAGCACTACGCCAGGGAAGGGGAAGGCCAGTGAGAGGCCACAAGCACACCCAGACCATCCTGGACAAAACTTTGAGGACTATGGGCCAGAGGCCTTGTGCAAGCACTCTGTGACACAGGCGTCTGCCTTTAATATTGCACGAGGTTGAGCGAGATTGAGACTGTGTACAGAGCCATGAGTTCTGTGCTCACCAACACCTGCCGAAACCCAAGGGCTCTGGAATCCTTGCTAGAACTTATCTAAATGCAGTGGGTAAACAGACACTTCATATCTATTTGTTCTGGCTCTTCAGAAACAGTGCCACTTCCTGGTAATGAAAGTGGTCTCAAGATGGTCCCTACAAATTGTACAAGAAGATCCCTTTATATATCATTGGTTGGATGATGGCCTTTTCATTGCACAGTATCAATCACATACCCTGGAACAAAGCAACTCTTGGGTTTCATTTTCATCACTTTAAAGGGCATTTAAATCTGTGACTCAAATATCTTCACTTTAAAGCATGAGGGATTTTATTGCAGAGAGACTTGCGTTTCAAATCCCAGAGCATCCCTGTTTTCTTTTTTTCTCTTCCTCTTCTGATCAAGAGAGATTGCCACGGCAAGAGAGGGGCAAATGCACTGTAGCACTTCCTTACCTTCTAAGGCTGATGTCCCAGCATTTTTATTTTCTTCAGCAAGCATGACTTCCTCTATGGAGAAACAAATGGCTCAGTAAATTATCTGTAAATGCCAAATTATTGTGCAAAATGAAAATCCCTTAGGGACAGTTCTGACTCAGAGCAACAGACAGTGAGCAAAAGGTTCAGAGCCTGTCACAGGTCCTGGCATAGAAAGAAAACAAGTGTCACCAGGGAGCACAGAGTACTAGGTGTACGTATGATGCCGTTGCTCAGCATTGTACCTTGGAGGGGGGAGTGTTTCCAACCAAATCCCATAGATTGATAGGCGTGAAAAAGTTCTTTTTTTGTTTTTATTTTCATTCAGAGTTCTTTCTCTCCTAAGCCCCTATTGGTTTGTTGTTTGTTTTTTGTTTTGTTTTTTTTGTTTTGTTTTGTTTTTAGCAAAGAAGCATTCTAATTTCTCTTGTCTGTGTCCCCCTGGGCCATAATTCCTACTCCCTTATTCAGGAGATAAAACCAGGCTTTGGGCACCATCCTGTCCATATCTTTGAGGAGAGGACAGAGAAAGAAGCATAAAGATCAGAGGGAAACAGGGCTGTGGTCTGCCTCCTTGCCATTTCTGTCCTGCTTCACTGAAGCAGGGCTTGAGTCCACCATGATTTGTCCCTGTGGCATTATAAAAAACATAGTTGGATTTTGTCTGTGGTTCCTGGCACAGAGCTCTTCTGAATGCTAATGAGAGGACTCCTGGACAGGAGAGGGGCCCTGGCTAGCTTAAAGCATGGCAGCTAGTGGAAACCTAACCACATGATTGGAGAGCTAGAATTTTTAGTGTGCTCCCCATCCTCATCTCTGGGGAGGAGAGAGAGGTTAGATTGGGTTCAATCACCAATGGCCAGTGATTTAATCAGGCATGCCCAAGGACCAAAATCTCCATAAATCCCTCTAATCCACACGGTTTGGGAGTCTCTGGGTTGGTGAACACCTCCCTCTGATGGGAGTGCACACCTTGCCCTGTGTGTCTCTTTTATCAACCATTCCACTTGTAGCCTTTATAACAAAGCAGTAAGTATTGATTTTCCTCAATTCTGTAACTCACCCTAGCAAATTATAAAATCTTCAGGCAGTGGAGGGTTGGGTAGGTGCAAGAACTTTAAGACCCCACAAATTTGTAGTCATCTAGGGAGAAACGTGGGTCACCTGGGGACCCTACTTTCTGGTGTCAGTTTTGTGGGACTGAGCCTTTAATCTGGAAGATCTGTGCTAACTCTGGGTAGTCTTAACTCTTAAGCTTGAGTTGAATTGTTAGCTACCCAGGTAGTGCTAAAAAAATGAAGGATTTGTTGGTGTTTAGGCAATGAATTTGTTTTTTTCATGTTTGGAAGAAACACCATACCATTCCTAGGTTTACAGGGTCCTCTGCTCCAGGGAAGTGTCATGATCTAAGGTGCACTATTTTCTACAAAGCCCTGTTGCAATTAACCTCACTAGACTTCCTCTAAAGCGACCGACAAATAGCCCTTACACCCCAAATCTGGAGGGCTCCTGAGTGCCCTACTGGGAATGATGTGTATAGGTTTTGATTCTCACCCACTTTCAACAGATAGACTAGGGAGCAGGTGGTCTCAACAGTCATTTGTGAAGATCCCAGATGCTGGGGAAAAGCTTGTGACGGTATCAATTAAACAACAGTTTAATTTAAGCAATTGTAAGAAGTAGAAGGGCAAGTAGGAGAGGGTAAAGTCATTGCCATAATTTCACCTGCATATAAAACTGAGAGTATGTAATGTATTTCCCAGGGAGGGGAACATTTTGAGGCTCGGACATTACTATACCTGATGGCCATTATGCCAAGTCATAAATGTTTAGCTTTCTTTTTTTTAAATGCAGCCTCTGGCAGAACACTGAGTTAACAGGTTAAGTGTTATCAGTGGGGTGTTTCTTCATGCAGGCCGACAGAGCTTTAAAGGCATTCTATAGCACAAGTTGTTTGGAGGGCATCATTTTAAAATTAAGTCCTTGGTAAAATACCTCATAGCAGCATTAATTACCTTGGCCGGAGAGTCACGCTTGCTGCAAAGTGTCTGGCTTTGGGTTGGGGAGGTCTGAGAACTCCCGAGGCAGATGGAAGGTGTGGTGCTGCTGAGGATCTCTGGGAAAAGCTGAGGCTCTGGATGCGTTGAAACCACCCCTCCCCCACCGATGCCTTTTGCCAAGTTCGCTTTCGAACTTGAGTGTCTTTCCAGGGAAATGTAACCCATATGTCTCTGATTCACTCATGCTCCATTTGTAAAGGGAAGGGCCAGGAAGCACAATTTGACGTTGCAGTGCGTCTTTTTTCTTAGAAGGAGAGAGAGCTGGCTTTGCCAACTGGAAGAAAGGGAAGCCTTGGAATTTTCCAAGTGTCTGAAAAGCACGCCACAAAAAAGCAGCGTAGCTGGCCACCTGACCCTGTGTGGGGTCACAGCCAGGGCTGGGAAGATTCTTTTCTGGTTCTGCTGCCAGCTAACTCCACAGTCTGTCAGATGGCTCCTGCACCAAGGATGCCAAGGACAGTTGGGAACAGCGAGCTGCCTGCCTAACCTGGAGGCAAATCAGCTCACCCTCCTATGATAAGGCTGAGTTACCGTTTGGGGCAGAGGTAGAAAGATTCATATTTATGACCCGCTACACAACTGCATTGAAGGAGTAAGGATGAAATGGACACTCAGCCAATAGGCATTTCTTACACTTTTGGAGGCAACAAGAAAATGTGGCGGTCCCAGATAGGGGTGTTTCTCTGCCTTTCAATCGTATGTGCATTCTCTCAGCCCTTACAGATAATCAGAGGTCAACTCCAAAACTTTAACGCCTTTTCACGTGTTGGTGGTCAGGCTAAGGGGGACACAATGTCATTCTAAAGCTCCTGCAGAAGCAGAAAACTTAAGCAACTAAGTATCAAATCATACTCCAAAATTTTCCTGTGTGACTTCACATTTGTGCTAGGTTTTCCATTAGGAATAGAGAAGGATGCTGCCTGTCAAGTGTATTTTTTTACTTTATTTTAAAATCACTTTTCTCTGGAAGAAAATGAAAATATATATCTATATATATATATATATATTCCAACCTTTAAAAGAATAATGCAAGCAAATGTATCCTTTTTATTGACAGTTAAGGGGTGACTAATTGATGCCCCTCATAAGCAACTGAACCACAGTCAAACTTGAATATGGTGCCTCTGTGTGGTGATGAAATCGTGACGGCATGGATCCATGCTCAAGGCTGGGCCCAAAGTGTTCCTGATGCTGGGCCACAGGGTAAGGAGTGAGGACACTGCAGGCCTTGGGAAAACACTTGCTCTTGCCATCATCTCCCATCTGCCACGACCTCACACTAGTCTCCCTGTCTCTGGCCTTGTTCTCTTATGCTCTATTCTCCAAGCAGCAACCAAATGCTCCTTTAAAATCTTAAATCAGAGCATGTTGGTCCTTTGCCTATCTACAGTAAAGCCCAGAACTCTTACAGTAACCCACACGGCCACACCTGACTGCTGCCCACTCCCAGAGCCACCCTCATTTTATCTTGTGTCACCCTCCCCTTGTCCCCTTTCCTTCTGCTCTTGGCTCACACCTGGCCCACACCTGGCCCTTCTCTTATTAGGGACTTGATGCTGAAATATTCTCTTCCCGGATCTTCCTGCAGCTCACCCTCTCATCTCCTTCAAGTCTCCAGACAAATGGGCCTATTCCAACCCCTCTACTTAAAATTGCAACACATCCCGTACTTTATCCTGGCCTTTTTTCTCATTGTACTTATCATCTTCTTGCAAGTTTATTATTTTATTTATTGTTTCCTTCCTTATCTAGAAAAGAATGAGCTTCTTAAAACAAGAGCTTTCAGGAGTCTATGTTTCGCTAGTGGTTGTAACCCAAGTGCCTACAATAAGCACAATAATGTATGTTTGCTAAATGTATGGATTGTCGGCACAGGGTGGGCAGAATATAAAAGTCACCAGCCCAACCTCAGCTCTAGGATTACATTTTCCTTCGTTGGTCCTGCTAACATGTTGCCTTGTGAAAGGCGTCCGACGGAAGAGCTAGGAAAGTCAGACTTCAACAGAGAAAGCGGGACCAGCAGGAAACCAAAAAGCTCACAAGGCAGTCAGAGCTGCTCTCTGCTCTCTTCTAGGCTGACCTTGCATGGAAGTATTGGGAGGGTGTGGTCTCTGATGCCTATGCATCCCACTTCCCCAGCTCTTCCAGCCCACAGCCTCACCGGCTTTGTCAATCCAGGCCCGGTAGCCATTCAGTTCACGCTCAATCTGCTGCTGGCGTCGCAGTTTCATGAACGCTCTCCTGTTCTCCACTCGCTCTCTCTCTTTGGCAAATTCCCTGTGGATAAGAACGGTAAGAGTCACTGCAGTCACTGGGTTTGGGTAGTACCGTGACAAAGAGAAAGGGTGATGCAAGTAAAAGTGTTTGAGTACATCCCTCTGTACACTCCACCTCCACATTCCTAGGTACTAGGCTGCAGTGCAGCTTCTTACCAGAGACCTGTGCAGATCCTCTGCATGTCAATGAGGCACAATACCCTTTGCTTGCCCTGCTTTATTTTTGATGGTAGAGATTGAACCCATAAAGCACTGAATTATATTGCAAGTACCTTTTGAACAATTTTTTTTTGAGACAAGTTCTCATTAAGTCGCCAAGACTTGGCTCCAACATGTGATCCTCTTGCCTCAGCCTCATGAGTAGCTGGGATGACAGGCATGTGCTCTATTTTGACAGGGACTTTTTAGCCATGCAACAAATGAGTTTTCAAAATGCCATGTTCAATCCCCCTGCTACAGTGGAAGCCCTTAACCTTCTCAGGGCCAGATCTATCCTTTATACTTTTGATAACAACAGTGACTAATGTGTATTGACCAGTTATTCTGTGCCAGTCATGTGTGAAATTTTTCATACTAACTCACTTAAGCCTCATAGACATCCTATAAATTGAACACTGTTAAATTCTCCATTTAACAGATGGAGCAACCAAGGCTTGGATGCATGAAGTAATATGTTGCGATGTGAACTCTAATTCTGTCCTGGGCATCATCATCTCCTATCCAGATGGCTCCAATGGCTTACATTAGTCTCCTTGCTTCTAGTCTTGGGTACAGGGCCTGTTTACCGTGGTGTCTGGTACACTGTGATGCTCAATAAGGAGTGAGATGGAAGAGCAATGGCACAGATGACTTGAAGGGCTGATAAGCTGTTGAAGACAGTCTGGTGTTGATTACATAATAAAGGAAGGGACACAGGGTAAGCACCCAGTAGAAAGATAGTGGGAAGGTGAGGTGAGAGGGTAGAGTGGGGTAACAAGACAGAGGGAAAGTCAAGGTGAAGGTGAAGAAAAAGACAGAGTTCACTGGCAGGCATAGAGGAAAAAGCCACCCTCTGTACAAGGAAATGAGAAGACTCCATGGGAGCTGAAGGGAGGAGAAAAGAGGATTAAAATGCTTCTTGGTAGAAAGGATCGGATTCAATGGGTAAACAAATGGGGACAAAGAAACAGCCATATGCTAATTGGCTTCTCCAGTAACCAGCATGCTAAAGCTTTCCTCATCACCGGACACGCTCACAGGCTGCAGTTCCCCCTTAGTACTACAGTCCCGCCCACCACAGTTCAAGTGTTCTCTACTTGTCCTGAAAGCTGCTCCATTTATTCAAGAGGATCACCATAAATAAAAAGCTGTAGCCTAAAGATGAGAGAGTCCAGCATCCACTTTGGATCCTGCCAGCTCCATCCTCATGTCCAGGGAAGGAGAAATAAGCCAAGAGCTCAAAGATGTGACCCAGCTACACTGCAGAGGAAGGGGAGGGGCTGGTCTACCATAATCAAGATAGAGGCCTATTTGTGTCTATCCTATATCTTTATTTGGCCCTCCTGCCAAAATACAGCTGGCTTCTTCAGGGACTGGATCTATGGTTATTATGGTTAAGTAAAATTGAAGGTACGGGGCAAGGTTCCCCCACCTTGCCCTGTGCTTGGTGGCAGCTTCAGTAGCTTCTGTTAAATGTACTGTGGTGAGATGGAAAGAGTTAAAATGAAGAACAAGCAGGGCCAGTGAGTGTCAAAGGAACAGAAGTCAAACACTAGGATAGCTCCTATCCTTACCCTCTTTCCTACATTTCAGCAATTAGAGAGTAACAAAGCCTGGGTGAGTCATAGTGTCACTGTCCACCAAAGTGCTTACCATTAGCTCTTTGCTTCTTTCCATCCCCTGAGTACAATTAGTGACACTGTTCTGTTGGTTCTATCCTCAGAAGGACTCCTGAATCTACCCTCTCTCCATTGTTATTATCTTGTCCAGGACCTCTTCTTTCCTTGACTGGACTATTGCAGTAGCATGGAGTTAGTCACTCAACCATCTCTCTCTCTTCCCTTAATTTTATCTCTCTCATAGGTATTAGAGTCACCTTTTAAAAACACTAAATTTCAAGTAATAAACATAGCAAGTAGTATTTGTGAAACGCTCTCGAATTTACCAAGCCCCTTCACATACGTTGATCATTTAATCTTTGCAAGCATTCTGAAGGGAGAGCAGGATGAGTATTTTCATTCTCCATTTAAAAGTAAAGCAACTTGATCAAGTAGAAGTAAGAAATGAAGCCAGAATTAGAACCCAGGCCTGAGGGCTCTCAAATTCTAAGTTCTTCAAGCCCCAGTATTTTCTTCTGCTACATTCTTTATCTTTTCATGTGCATGTATCTTGATCTTTCACCTAAGCTCTGAGGGAATTAAGAAAGGTTTACTAAGATATATTATTTTGAGCAAGACCTTGATAAAGGAGAATCTCAGTAGGTGACAACCACAGTAATCCTTGAGTGTGGAGGGCAAGCACTATTACAAATGCCTCCACTCTCCAGATCAGAAAACTGAATCTAAGGGGAATCAAGTGGCCCTTTGTGAGGGCAAGTGTCCAAGCAAAGAAAGAGAGCCTTGGAGAGGAACCACAACTCTCAGATCCTCTCAGTTCCCTTTCTACTCAGCACCTCCTCCTTCCCAGCCGCCTCTGCCTTCTCCTGAATGAAGCAAAAACACTAAATATGGCCTTCAAAGTCTTGCAAGATTTGAGTCATGCCTTTGTCTTCAAACCTTATCTCTCATCATTCCTGCCCACTTTTGCCTGCTCGGAGTCCTCCATGGCCATGCTTCAGCCATGACCCATTTCCCAAAAGGTGGCGTGGGCTTGCAAGGCTAGTGTGTACCCTTGCTCTGCCTGGAATCTGTCTTAGTCTGTCAAAACTCAAGGCCAAGTTGAAATGCTGTCTCTGTGTTTAGTATTCCCTTCCCTGAATCTTCTAGCACCCTCTCCAGCTCTCCTCTGTCTCCTGAGAGCCCCCCTTACAGTCAGACCTCTACTGTGATCAGTTGCACAGGTGACTGTCTCTTCATCTACAAGAGATTTTTGTGAAAACACCTTATGACATATCCAATTTTCTATCTTCCTTGACCAAAATAGACCTGGTATATAGTACATCTTCAATAGATTTATCATTATTACTACTAAAAACATGAAGGCTGACTCAGTGTGCACGGTGGTAGTTCTGCCCTGGTTCCCAAAGCCTTCAGTGAAGAACCACTGCATCCCTGCACTGACCCAAGGGAGCCAGGGAGCTAGTGCTAAGTCTTCAATGCTGCCACCACTCTCTTTTAAGTCTACTATACAATGTCTGTAGAATTAGTCTCTGAAGCATGCAATATGTCCCTTCTATCTGTCCCCCAGAATGACAGGATAGCTTGATTTCTGGCAAGTTAGGCAAATAAACCCCAGTCTAACCTCCTTGTGTATTTGAAAGTTTCCTGGACCCTAGGTCTCACCTATTGGCTTTCTTGTTTATTTATATTTTCAAAAATCTGGGAAATTCAGAGAAGTTACTTGCCCAAGATCATCCAATTAGAAAGGGGTGGGACTGAAAGTCACACTACTGTCTTCCAATTCCAAGGCAAGTGCAATTTCTACAAGACAGACTTAGCTGTCTTCTCTGCTATCTAGACATTACAAAAGGGATTTTGTTTCAGCTCAAGGTTGAAGAAAATAAGGATATAAAACTGAGGTATTTTTTTTCTTTTCTTTTCCTTTTATTTTTCTTCTTCCTTAAAGAAGCCTTTCATTGAGACAGCTGTATAAAATCCCCTATGCTGAGTTAATAAAGGATAGGTTGATAAAGACCTAAAATAAAATTCATAGCATTAGTCAAGGTAGTGATACACTGCTGATTTTGTGTCTGTATCATAGTCACCATTTATTCATACACATACATAATCTGGAGGGAACAGGGCCAAATAGGATTCAGCTCCACAACATGCCAAAAACAAGTGAATATTCTAATCTTAGACTTACATGCCCACCAGGCTCCGAGTATCTAAGTGGCCAGACCTGGGGAAGGGACGTATGTTCTTCCATTATCCCCCTTCTCTGAGAATCAGAACTCTTTCTTCACAGGATCCTGGGGGTTACTTGGGTGGTGATGATAGTGATAAATTTGGAAACCTCAGAGAGAGGCTCTCTGCATATCTCAATTTATCCAGTTCCCTTGGATGAAGCCATAGGAAGTTAAGAAAAGGAACTCTGGATTATAGCGGAAGAGTGTTCACATACCCCAAGGTCTCCTGGCACTTGCCTGGGGCTTAAGGAAAGAGAATATGTAACCAGCCGCTTGCTACTTGCTCCATCCAGTGCTTCCACACCATAGATGTAATAGAGCTCAGGATAGGATGCATCTATGCTTCATGATTCCAAATATGAAGGACAAAATTAAACCCCATGTGCTATAGCAGAATGGTGCCAGATCTTTTCTCAGAGTGAGGTATCCAGACATCCTTTGCTGCTAATGAATGGGGTGGTAACCTCTCAGTCATAGCTGACATTAGACAGACATAAAAACCCTTTGTTCCTAACCAGAGGTGGGAACAACTCTGCTCTAGGAAGCCTGGCTAGATTCCTATAAGAGTTGGCACAACGAAGAACATCCAAACTGCACTTCATTGTAGGCACTACTTACTCCCCAGTTCTGTCATCTATCATTTTAGACCTCACCGTGGTCCCCTGGGAAGATAACCTGCAGCTCCCCACAAGATACCGCTCTCAGAAACATGAAAGAAAGGTGAGCTGGAGTTAGGCCTGGGTGAGTCTCTATTCTGGTGGCCACATCTGCATGCAAAGTTCAGGTTTCTAAATTTCACTTATGGGATCTATAGGAAGGTTGTTGATCTCCTTGTAGTACATGATGAATTTGCTTTCTTTTTTCATCCCTGTTAATGAATCTACATTTGTGACACTTTTGTCTTCCAGAAGTTTACACAAGAATCATAAATTGTAAAAATCAGCTTTTCCTATACA